CTTTTCTTTTGCTCCGATAAAGTAGCTACCATCATCACCCCATTTGCAAAAAAAGAAGTAAAAGTGAGGAAGATAGGTGCTTTTTACCATCAGTGATAGGAGATAAAAATATAAAAACTAAAGATAAAAAATATAAAAACTAACTTTCTAGATCTCATTTGTGGATGTATTAAAAGGATGATGGTTATTAACAATTTCTTTCCAGTGCTTCTTGTAACTTCTCAGAAAAGATGCTGTAATCCGAAGAGGGGCTGATTGAGAAATATGGACGACTGGGGGTACCTGGGCGGCTCAGTGGGTTGAGTGTATGACTCCTGATATTGGCTCAGGTCATGATCTTAATGGTTTGTGGATATGAGTCCCACATCAGGTTCCATGCTGAGTGTGGAGCCTGCTTGAGATTCTCTCCTTCTCTCTGCCCCTCCCTCGTTCAATCTCTCTCTCTCTCTCTCTCTCTCTCTCTCCAAATAAATAAACCTAAAAAAGAAAAGCAATACAGATGACTGGGCCAGCAGCAGTGGGGCACTGGCTAAACTGGAGGTTCAGTTACTACTCCACAAAATACTGCACAGTGCAGTTTAACCAGCTTTCAAATTTAAACTAGTCAGTATTACAGTATTTTGGATTCTAATATCTTCATCTCTTCTGAGGTCCTGGAAAAATATCGGTATTTATAATCAAACTGACCTTTTCGTTCTCCACTCTTCCCAGTAGTGGGCAAAAAAATCAATTAGCAAGATAGTTAGTAGGCAATTAGTGAGAAAGGTAGTAGGAACTCCAATTCGCTGGGGGCTCTCAGAGCCTCCACCATCAGAAGTGGTTTTACAACCATCTCTTCTGGTGCTACAAACAGGGTTCTCATTCTTCAGAATGTGCTAGAGAGAGAAGTGGCTAGAGATATGCCGAACTTGCCTCAACTCAATCATCCTGAGGTGGATAGAAGCCCTTCACAAGTTTTAGGATTCAGCTGATCAAAGACAGAGCTTACCCATGAGTAATGTGCTAGAAAAACAAGGCTTTTGGCATCTAAACCTTCAGTGCATCACAAACTTCCTGCTATTATCTAATATCCCCCCAACTCAGCCATCACGGTTTCCATGGGAACCGACAGAGAAATAGCAGCCTGCCAAATGGCTTTTGTGGTTCCTTTTCTAGCTTGTTTTTCAGTATAGAATTAAAGCTAGCTGGGAAAAGAACCAGACTAATCTTTACAGCAGGAACACGAAGCATTTTGGAAAGTACAACTAGGTTTGGGACAAGGAGTGTAGACAAACTTTAATGAGCTCAGTTTGATAGAATAAAAAAAGGCTCTTGGTTTCTAAAAAATGTCTACTCGAGTGTATCTGGTAAGCTTTCCATTGCTCTTGAGACGTCTATCTCGATATTGTCCGGAAGACAAATACGGTGCCATCCACTCTGTCTTTAACTGAGTTAACAAAAGAAGGGGTGGGGTGAAGGGACCGGCAAGATCCAGCAAGTCTACCATGCCCCCCAGTGCCTTGTTATCATTCAAGGAAATGAGAACTTACTGTACAAACTAAAGGACAGTGAAGAAGGCTCTGTTAGGGGAGAGAAGCGGCTGTCCCGGGGATGGTGCATGCATGACGCTGACTGAGCCAGCTGTATGCATCAGAGGGGCCCTGGTACTCAGGAAAACAAAGGTCTCCTTACCATCTCGGCACAGGAAGGCACTGTGGGGAATGCGATGTGTGGAACTGGGGCAGCTTTCAGAAGAGCAGCGGCCACAGAGATCTGCCTAAAGCGCCAGACTGCACAACAGACAGCTGCTGCAGGGGTGGGGCAGACGGGATGTAAAAAAGTGGCCCCAGACATATGCTTTTCTGTCTCAAAGCAGCATACTTGAATAAAGTACACAAGAATCTCAGGATTCTTCTATGTCACTTCCAGATGAGAAACTCTAACTCAAGTCAAACAGGTACTTAGGTTCCCTTCTGACAGGCTACAACGATCTGGATTTTGACAAGAGATGCCCTCCCACCACCTCTAACACACTATGAATGTCTTGTTGACAGACGTGAAAATTACAACCTTCGGTGGCATACTAAGTTAGGTTCCTGAGTTTCCTGACAGAAAGTCACACTCCTACAAATTCCGCACAGAAGACTAACGTAATTTATGCTTTTTAATTTATGCTTTTACCTTGAGTTGTATGAATCATGAGTCATGTTCTCAGAGCTCTCATCGGAGTTTAGAAAGAAAAGTAGACACAGATCTGCAATAACCACTTCCTTTCAATCCTTAGAAAAGAGATCATTATAATAAGATAAAGATAACGTACCCTAAGGCTGTCAACTCAAAGAAAGGCTTCTCTGCACTTCTAGTTTAGCTAGATTTGTGGAGACCTGAATCTTTGGAAATCTATGTTAAAGAAACTTGAATAAGTCTTTCCAAAAGTTTAAACTTGGGTCTTGTTTACCCAAGAATGGAACTTACAGGTTCTGGGGGGAAAAAGCCATTTTCAAACTGGATTCAGTAATGCATGATTATAATTCCCAATATATTAAGCTTCAATTTTCCCATCTTAAGCAAAAGCCAGAATTGAAACGATATGCAATTACATCAAAATCAATCATAATTAAGATGACACAGGAAGCCAAAACTTACTACAGTCAATACCCTGAGGTGAGGCATTGACACCTTTATATTTCTTCCCAAATTTGTTTCCTCAGCCAACTTTAAGACCTCAGATGAATTTTCTTACTTATTCGGTCTATATTTTTATCAAATCTGCCATCATAAGTATAATGCAGATTCCCTTGCTACTAGCAGACAATTACAGGGACTTTACCACATCGTTATTATTTCATGAGCTGTGCTTTCACTACACTCATCAAAATAAACTATAAGAAGCCTTGAGAAGATAAACCTTCAGTATGGGCAGTCGCCCTCTTAAGAGATTTTGTTCCAAATGGTTGCCTTGAGAAACAAGGCTGTGTGGTAGTTATATTATCCATGTACTCATTAACCTATAACATAAGTGAAGTTTATTACCAAGAAATAGCTCTTGATCACCACGAATAATGCTTTCATATGCGAAAATGAAGACCTTCAGCTGCCTGGCGGGGAAACGGAATGGGGGTATTCTGGGCACCAGAACACTGCTAATGCTTAATGACTGGAAATTGCTTCTACGGTAAAACTAATTATCCAGAAAGCGTGCTTTGGGAATCCTTAAGCCTCAAATCTGTAAATAGGCCACAAATGTTTTTAAGAAGGGGTAGTGGTGAATGTATGTGTGTAAAGAAACAGTGATTGGACACATAACTACCTGGCAACAAAGAAAATACCAGCAAGGCTCCAGGCGAGGATTATCCCAAACATCATTCTGGACCTACCACAGCTGAGGCGCCACTCAGAGGGGGAAGGACAACTTCCATCGGAAGGCACAACACCAGGAGGAAAGAGACGACTTCACCTTCCTCGATTATTGCCACAGCCCAGATCCCAGGGCCAGGCCTGACAAAAAGTTGGTATGCCTTAAGTCTGGCTTGAGAAGAAGATCTAAACTTAAAAACGAAACACGTGATATTTCTCTGCTAGTCACATAACAGGCGTCTTAACAAGGGCGGGACGAATAACTCAGATAATTTATTTGACTGGATTTTCACCGAGTGGAAAGCTGCATATAAAAGTATAACCATACCAAAGAGAACAAGGCAAAGGCTGGGTCATCTGCTTCTCAAGTGGAGAAGGCTAATTACCAACAAAATTGGGAAGGCCATCTGAAGTGCCCAGAAGCAAGATCATTCAATATGTCATTGGCAACTGACAATCCCCTGCTAACATACAAAACAAAGCAAACAAAGCAAAGAAAACCTAATCAATGGAAACCAACCTGACAATAAACTATAATTAAAAAAAAAGAAACTTAATCAAGGAAAATTAAACTGACAAAAGCTGCTTAATGGCATAAATGCAAAATAACCCAATATGCTTCAAAATACCATGGTTGGGAACTGAAATACATGTCAGGAGAGGAGCCCACTCCATTAACTATGTTCTTGAAGGAAGCGTAACTGACGAAGAACAGACATGAGCACTGACAGGCTACTAATTATTTGGTCTGGATTAGGTCATATTCTAAACACAGCCTTATAAGCCTTTCCACACGGACTGGCTCTGGTTTAATGTTATAAGCTAAATGACTGGGAATCTTGGTAAGAGAAAGACACAAAGATAATAAGTTCATCTGGTAGAGGTTTGCTCTTTTCTTTGAGTTTCTACTACTTTTTCTATGTATCTTAATCCTAGGGTCCTATACTTTCTTGATTTAAGAAAATCAAAAGTCCTAGTATCCTGGAAATATCCTACAACACAGGTAAAACCTGGGACAGAAAACTAAAGTTATCATGTTTAACTACTGCTTCTGTCCCTAAATCTGGACAGACAACCACGCCTGAGAAATTGGCATGAGCTTCCTCTTTTGGAGAGAATTACAGGTTCATGTGTATTTCAGAAGATAGCTGAGAAGGCGACGAGGCTGCTCACGACATTCCCTCACAGAACGCTTACAATGAAGCCTCCCTCAGGGGTGAAGCCTCCCTCAGGGGCGTCTTCCCCATGCCTTCTCCCTTTCTGGTCTTGCACCTCCCAGCTCGAGCCTTCCCTTCATAAGCCCCTCTTCACAGCACTTATCATAATTCCAGTCATCTCAGTAATTAGTAGTATCTGTCTATCCCCTGTATCCATGAGGACAGGAACTATGTCTGTTCGTTCCACCAACGGAAATGAGCCCCCAGTGCCTGGCACGTGGCAAGCAATTTCTGTTGGATAAGTGAATGAATGAACGAATGAACGGCCACTCCGGGAAACAAAACGTAACCATGGGGCAGGCAATCTGTTGAACAGGTTTCAACACCAAAGCACGTACTCCTGTCCTCTAAACCTGAAAACAGAAGCTTTTAAGAACTCTACTTTTTTCACAGAATATTAGAAGGCAGGTAGAACATTAAAAAAAGAGAGAGAGAGAGAATACTCACTGGTGGGGGCTTCCTTCTCATCTCAAAAGTGCGTGTGGCACCAAAACTCAGCGAAGCAATGATGGGACATCTCCCGAGCGCAGGTTCATCATCACTGTGCCAGTCGACACTGTCTTTCTCATTTCGGTAAAGGTTACAGAGCAAGGAGTTGAAGGTGTGGCCGGTGTTCTTTTCAATCTGGTCCTTCAGCGTGAGCAGCACGGGATGCCACTGCGGTCCGCAGGCCAAGAGAAGGGTGGACACAGTTGGCACGAGACACAGGTGGCAGCCACATGTGAAACAGGAAGGGCTGAGTCAGTCTTGTGTACAACAGGGGCATGGAATAAGCCAAACACTTGGAATGCAATAACCAAAGCAAGAGGAATAGTTTAATTCCCTCCCATCATTTCTATTTTGAAGCAAGTTGACCCCTACCATTTTATGAAGGTACGAAAATTTGGTACAGCTTTGTCATGAGGACCACGCCTATCTACCCATCTCATCCCTTCTGTGTTAAATACATGACCCCACAAAGAAGCCAGGGTCATTATCTTCAGAGCGGTCACCTCAGTGAGTCATTAAGGCTCTGCTGCCGCAGCTGACAGGCTACCAGGCAGCTGGTAGATACAGACCCAAGTCTGAGGAGTCAAACAATTTTCCTGCTGGGTGGCCCTCTGTTCATTCGATTTCTATTTTATCATGAATGACAAAACTGCTTTTTAAAAAAGGTATTTAATATTTCCAGAGTGGCTACCTTCCTAAAAATAGGACCTAAAGGGAAAAAACATTCTACAGAATGGAATCATGACGTGGCCTTGATAAATACATGAACTACTGTGAACTACAGTTTCAACAGATTCCCCAGGCTCCCTCCTGAGCACCGGTTCTCTTTTGCAGTTTGTATTTGGAACACACCTTCCTGCCACATACACCACAGGAAGCTATGACCCCTGACCTCCCACTGTACCTGGGAGCCACAATCAGCATGGCTGTATCACTTGTTACAATTCTGTCCTTCCTCCAAGAAACCCCAAGTGCTTTACAGACCTTCCTTTACGACAGTGGTTCTCACACCACTATCAAAAATGATTGAGGTCTCCAAAGAACCTCTGTTCTTTGGCTACAGCAATGAGGTTTATCATATTAAAAATTAAAACTAAAAAATTAAACTATCACAAAAATACAAACCCATTACATGTTAATGTAAATATTATCTTATGAAAAATAACTGTATCTTCCAATACAAAAAAATATCAGGAAAAGTTGCAGTGTTTTGCAAATATCTTTAATGTTTGGCTTAACTAAAGACAGTTGATTCTCCTATCTGCTTCTGCATTCAATCTGTTACAGTATGTTGTTTTTGTTGAAGTATATGAAGAAAATTGGCTTCACACAGATATGTAATAAAAAACGGAGGAGTCTTTTCCAGCCTTTCCAAATAACCATGGATATTCTTTGATATTACACCAAAACTCAACAAGTACTGACTTCAGATAATCTGAAACCATTATCAACAAATTTCTCATATTGTTACATTTAAATCCATTGGGTCAGCCGGCATTTTGAATGAGTCTTAATCCTGTCTGATTCTATAACATCAAGCACTGGTCATGTGGAAAATATTGATCCCATGAGTAATGCAGATCTCCTGACACATTTCATTATATAATATAAAAAAATCATATCCATTAATATTACCAATGATCTCATCAGAAAAGACTAAATAATAGGAAGAGATCAGGCTAAAAGTGGCAGATAAGACTTTCTCCAAATTAGTAACTTTGCTTGAAAACTCAACTTTTATAAGTAACAAATCCTATCCATTGTTCCACTTGAAGTGACACTTCATTCATTTATTAGAAAACATCTGCCAAATACTCAAGCCTGAATAACTACAGTCTGTTAGTTGTTCTTCCAAATAAACATGATCCATGATGAAAGCAGGTAGTTCAGCTATAGCTTAAACAATCTCACAAGTGTTCTTCCTTGACAACCATCATGCGTGGCTTTGTAGCAGGAGTGCTTTATGCATACCTTCCATTTCACCAAACTATTCAAGAGATATGAACTCAAATATTGAGATTTAATAAAAGTAGTAATGTTTACTGCTTTGAGGAACATTCTTAAACTAAATCAGCTTTCTTTTTTTCTTAAACTGGAAGTGCGTGGTGGTGAAGAATCCCATGATTACTAGTAGAGTCTGGCGACAATGCCCTGACTCATGCTAACATACCAGCAGTTCCATCCACCATTACTTTTGTATCGTCCATGCAAATTCAACACAGTGAAAGTGCCATGTATCATATAGTCTTAGTATTATTCCAAAGATAGTTTTGACCTGTGGACTCCCCCAAAGGATTTCATGGATAACCTCCAGGTATCCAGAGTCCACTTTAAAAACTCTACTTTAGAGAACCCCTTCAAAGTCATGTTCAATGTACAGCAGTGAAGGAATGCACATTCAGCGAGGCAAGCATAATATTCTAAGTATATCCTATGGCTATTGTCAGGTAAAACTGCTAAGGAAGCATATGTGGGACTCACTCAGCTTTGCTGCGATGCTGACATTGTGATAAACTGGGGCTTCTTATTACGGATACGAACATTACATTCTAAAGCAGAGGATTTTTCAAAATAAACAATCTAATAACAAACCGAACTTAGATCAGTAAAACAGAAATGTTATTAAACTAACCTACATTCAAGAGAATGAATGTAAAAGTGAAATTCCATAATAATGTTAGCAGGCTGTATTTCCTATTTGTTTTATGGCCATTATCTTCACGGAGATAAAGATCAGATGCTAGAATTATACACTTAGCAAGAGAAACAAGAAAGTAAAAGAGGAAGATAGCTTTTCTGCAGTGTGACTGGGAAACTAATTAGCACCTCCCGGACTTGCCTCGGGACTGAGCACTGTGATAAACTCCAAGTCTGCATTATGTTTCTAAGTGGGCATATATTTTTACTGGCTATTTTTGGTGGTGAAGTAAGGAGAAAAAAAGGGGATAATGAACTAGAGGATTAATTTAGACTCACCAACCAATACGCTATATACAGATCCCTCAGAACTCAATGTCTAAATTAAAATTCAGCATCATCTCACTGTTCAGTGAAGGCATTCTATCCTTAAAAGACATCTGAAGAAAAGAGTATGAGAAAATATGAATCACAGAAGTAAAAGGACCTATTCAGAGGATTTCAAGAAGTATTTTGTAGAGTCTTAGGTACCATAGAGATGTGCCTCTGGGAGCACAGGAAGACAGAGGAGGGGTCAAGCTGGTGGGACCCCCAGCCAGTCAAGGCCCTCCTTTGTTTTCACACACTGGGTTCAATAAGATTTAGTTCAAAACAGACTAAAAGAAGTTCAATAACATCTGACTGAATTTGCTCCTGTGCTTTGGGTTATTAAGCTTGAGGTAATAATTTTACAGTTAAAATTAAACAAGGACCTCCAACACACATATATACCCTTAAAAAAATCTAAGAAAAAGGCATCTCTTTTGATTTTGTTCAAGATGGGATATAAACAGACTAAATCTGTTAACAATAAATACAAAGTTATAAGAATTAAAGAATTTTAATTTGATAACCTTAACATCTAACAAAAAAGTTTGCTTCAATAAATTACAGTATGTACACACAGATTACGGAACACTACATACCTATTAAATATGATGTAAGAGACCATTCAATGATATATATTAAGGATACAGTTAAATGAAATGCAGTATACCTACTTGGTATTTTCATAGAAAAACTCTCTTTATATATTTACCTTAAAAAAAAAAAAAAAAGGACTGGAGCCAAACATTAGGTGGAAGAATTACCCAAAATTTTAATACTCTTCACGCTTATCTATAGCTTCTAAATTTTCAATAAATTCATACTACATACAAGAAAAAGACTCACTAAAAAATTCTTTTGAAGGGTTGTCGAAGTGTCCTCAAAGCGTAAATGGCCATTCTACTCAGCATATCTCATGGGTCTCATGTTTATTCTAAACCAGTGGTTCTCAGCCAAGGGTAATTCTGCACTGCTCCCCCCTCCCCCCCAGAAGTCTGGCAATGTCTGTAGTCATTTTTGGTTGTCACAACTGGGTGAAGGGCGCTTCTGGCATCTACTGGGTACATGTCATGGATACTGATAACCATCCCACAATGTACAGGACAGCCCAACAACAAAGAATTACCCAGCCCCAAATGTCACTAACACCAAGGTTGAGAAATCCCATTTTAAAAGATGAACCAAAATGATGACAAAGAACTTCTTCCCTAGAGCCTGTTTAACCCTCAACTTCTCTGCTTTGGCTGTTGACAAGAAGGTAAATTAATTCTGACAGAAACATGGCTAGCCATCTGTTGGATTGATCTAATTCTGTTCTCTTCATGTTTCCAAATCAACCTCATATATAAAGGGTCTCAGCCCTTCCCCGGGTCACATTCTAAATGCAGCCCTATGAACAAAGGCATGCAGCCATCTCCTTATGTGAAAAAGCCATGTCCCCACTCCTATCCCCTGTCCCTGAACAGCTTAGTAAAGTGGTAGTTAAGTATAACAAATTACTAGAAGCTCTAAAATGTGTCATATTTCTGTTTATCCCAATGCCATTAAGCAAAACTCCATTTTCTTCAAAGTCTCTTTCAATAAAGCATAAAATTATTTGCCAAAGGGCAAGATTCCAGGAACTAAACAGGGAGCTATTTCTTGGACCTTAACTCTATCCTTTGGACAAGCTTAATTTATATAATAGAATCTCTTTGTCTACTGTCATGGAAACTTTTAAAAACAAAAGAAGTGGTAGAAGTAAGCCAAAGCAATGATAAGATGATAAGCCTAAGAACTACAGCCACAGAATGAATACAAAGTCAAGAAAAATACCAGATTTTTTCACAAATGGCAAAAGAGCCTGAGAAATGGAAGGAGATGTTCTGACCTCAATGGTCACTCATAAGAATTTGGCTCCATGGCAAACGTGTACGAGGATGTACACAGAGGGCTATGGCCAGAAAAGCTGGGAAAGGGGCAGGTCTGAAGAAGTGGTTCATCTTCCTGAAACCCTTGAGTCAGGTTCCAGTTTATTCTAGTTCCAATTTTTTTCTCATCCTCAGAGTTTACCTCTAGAGCAAAAAGCACATGAAGAGTGACCAGCACCAAGTCTCAGTGTTTGACCCCAGAGGACTTTTTAAACTAGGAACCATCATGCAGTTCTGCAAGTAATACTCTGCTATTTTATAGGAGCTACATTTACAGTACAGTCTATAAAACCATACCAACAAGAACATTCCAACATACGTGCGAATTTGGTTCCATAGTGATTCTTGAGTAAGTGTAAGGAAGTTCTCCATACCATGCTGTAAGTCTTGGTTGCTTGTAAGTAACATCTGAGAAAGAAAATACAGGGCCTTTGAAATACTTTAGCGCTATTTAAGGTGCACCTACTGAGTGCCATGCAATGTACAAGAAGCTGTGAGAAACACAAAGGCAGAGTTAAGATGGGCTGTGACCCACGCGTCTGCCTTGACATGGGATTCCAGGAGCAGAATGGGCAAGAGCTCGAAGAAAGAAGACAAGAGAAGGTATGATGGCAGAAGCCGTACTGGCAAAGGCTCTGCAAGTATGTGTGACTTGTTTGTTTCAGTGATGCCATAAACAAGAGTGGAGTCACACTGCAGAAAGGTTCAGGTTAGAGAAGGCCTAAAAAGCAGGATATGGAGTCTGACCCCTCATATGCAGGAATCCGTGGGACCAACATCCATATAAGAAACAAGACAAACTTCATCCATGTGCTGCCTTGCCTATTGGTTTTGATACAATAAAAAGTGCTCTGACCATCCACAGCATGTGGCTGATTGTCGTCACATGTCTTTGACGTCCAATATATCTGGAAGGGGATTATCCACAGATCTGCTATTTTCCCCACAACTGACATCAACCGCTACAATCAGAAAAAGAGTTATAAAGGCAGCTACCAGTCACTGAAGGCTTACTGTGTCTGTACCAGTCATTCTGCTGAGCACTTATCATGGATTATCTCATTTAATCCTCACAACCATCGTATAATATAGGTATTATTATTATTAGTCCATTTTACAGACCAGAAAACCAAGAATCAGGAAACTACTTAACTGTAATTTGCCTAAAATTAACAATTACTTTGAATGACAAAGCAAGCAATCCAAGACAAGCCTGCCACTGCTGTGGAATCTCTGGGAGTTAGGAGAAAAAGCGGACTCCTATTCTGATGTCTGAGTCCCACAAATGAAGCCAGTATGCTCTGCCTCTTTCATTACAGAAAGTCTCAATTCACGCAATGTGCCCGAAAGCAAATTGTATGCTAGGGCGCTGACGCCCTCCAGTGGCCACCTCCAGTCCAGCAGCTGTGCGCCTGTGGGTGCCCGTGGAGGAGCAGGCTCCGAGTCCTGTCATCCTTACAAGCTCAGGAGTACAAAAATACTGAAACAAAAAGACACTGGACTCTTCTAGCGAAACTAAAATGAAGATAAAAAGCTGGTAATAAGGATCATAAAAAAGCATATGTGGAACAGAATCAGACAAAAGAAAGCTCTGGAGGTTTCTATGAAAAAAGAGGGAAGCTGGGGCGCCTGGGTGGCTCAGTTGGTTGAGTGTCCGACTTCAGCTCAGGTCATGATCTCACAGTTTGTGGGTTCGAGCCCCGCATCGGGCTCTGTGCTGACAGCTCAGAGCCTGGAGCCTGTCTCCAGATTCTGTGTCTCCCTCTCTCTCTGACTCTCCCCCACTCATGCTGTCTCTCTCTCTCAAAAATAAATTTAAAAAAATATATATTAAAAAAAAAAAGAAAGAAAGAGGGAAGCTGTCACTATTTGAAGTAATAACGGTAGTAAACAAACTCAAAAAGACAGAAGTATGTCAAGCACAGGTCAGCCAAAGCAGACATCCTCTGGCTCCCTGAACTGCCACCTCCCTGCTCCAGCCCGTTCCCTGACCTCTGGACCTTTCACCTGCTCTTTCTTCTGTCTGCAGTTACTCGTCCCAAATCCCTACGCATCTGTTTAATTAAGACTGGCTGTGATGAGGGGCGCCTGGATGACTCAGTCGGTTAAGCGCCTGATTCGGCTCAGGTCATGATCTTATTACAGTTTGTAGGTTCGAGCCCCACATCGGGCTCTGTGGTGACAGCTAGCTCAGAGCCTGGAGCCTGCTTCAACTTCTGTGTCTCCCTCTCTCTGACCCTCGCCTGTTCACGCTGTCTCTCTCTCTCTCCCCGAAATAAATAAAACTTAAAAAAAAAAAAAAAAAAGACTGGCCATGGTGAAAGAAACAATGGTAGCAGAAAACATTCTAGAAAAAGAGACCAAGTGGCAACAAGGGCAATCTCAGACATGTGCTTACCCTCTCTGATGCCGGTCCTCTGTTTCCAGGGAACAACCTCACAAAGTTGTTCTAATACCCAGTCAGCTTCTTTTAGGTCAACAAAGCCAGGATACAAACACACCCTGGATGAAGAAAGAACCATTATTAGCTAAAGAACACAGAAAAGATAGGCTAGTCTCTACCCATTAGTGAAGTAAGTTAATTTGGATGCTTCCTTTCATGGGTACATGAACTCAACCTACCACACCTCCCATGGCAAGATGCAAAACGAACTTTCATGTTAAGACAAATACGAGGCAATACAGGAAAAAATGCATGAGAGCTTCTACAGACACTACAAATATTGCTCCACCACAACTTGCTGTGAAACTTTGGGCAAATTATATAATTTCTATGAATCCTGGTTTTTCTTATCTGTAACACAAAAGTGAGATCCACTTCACAGGCTCACTGTGAAAAGTAAACTAACAAAAGGCCTGGCCCTGTGCTATTTTAACAACTGGCTGTCTTCTGAGACTATGCCAGTTGTAGGGAAAGTGATCAATTATGACTGTATCAAAATAAACACTTCCAAATGAAAGTTCTGTCACTGAATATATGCTTATTTCAATAATGCCAAGTCACCTCAAAATCATTCTGGATAGCCTTCTTAAGAAATGTGCTGGGTCGGGGCGCCTGGGTGGCTTAGTCGGTTGAGCGTCCGACTTTCGCTTAGGTCATGATCTCACGGTTCATGGGTTCGAGCCCCGCGTCGGGCTCTGTGCTGACTGCNTTCGAGCCCCGCGTCGGGCTCTGTGCTGACTGCCAGCTCAGAGCCTGGAGCCTGTTTCAGTCTGTGACTCCCTCTCTCTCTGACCCTCCCCTGCTCGCGCTGTCTCTCTCTCTCTCTCTCCTAGAAATAAATAAAAATATTTAAAAAAATAAATAAAAGAGACTTAAAAAAAAGAAATGTGCTGGGTCACTTGGGTGGCTCAGTCAGTTAAGCATTCGACTTCAGCTCAGGTCATGATCTCACGGTTCATGGTTTTAAGCCCCGTGTCAGGCTCTGTGCTGACAGCTCAGAGCCTGGAGTCTGCTTCGGATTCTGTGTCTCCCTCTCTCTCTGACCCTCCGCTGCTCACACTGTCTCCTCTCGGAAATAAATAAAACATTAAAAGAAAAAAAAAGAAAAGAAAAGAAATGTTCTGAAAGCCCTTGGAACATTCTGTCCAACTTCACTCTCTGGAGCGTGCATTTGATTTTCTGAAAGAGTCAAAGCTCACCTTGAAGCCATGCCTGTTTAACAATGAGATGCGACCAAAATAATGCAACTGGTTTTCTTGCACTGACTGTTAAATTTGCTTTAAAAGAGAGGTTCTGAAGCTCTAAACAATTCATTTAGACACGCAAGTTCTGATATATTTATTTTAAATGGCCTAATTATCTTATAGTGACTATTAGTATTCTCATGCAATAAGAGGATGCTTCCAAAATTTTCATTTTAATGATTAATGCCTACTCTATCCTAAATTGTATATGCTTTAACTTTACTGAAATATACCTTAATGTAGATTAAGGATTACTTAATCTATTTATGTAGATTAAGGATTAACATATTAAAAAAACACGTAGTAATATGATTAATGTGATAATAAATGAAGTGATGCATATAATGTAATGTAATAAGAATAAAATGGAGCACTCAGAGCACAGAAATTGAGGCTAGGTCATCTCTACTTTTAAGTTACTATGTGGTACTGGGAAAAAGTACTCAATCTCCTTGGGTCTTATTTCCTCACCTAAAAAATTACAGAATAGTTACTATATCTGACAGAGAGGCTGTGAAAATGTTTTGGAGTCAGAAATTCTATATAAAAAGAGATATTACCAAAGTCTCACTCCTCGCCCCCCTGCCCCAAGATTTTCAGAGGCATAAGTTACCTATTTCAAAAAAGGGAGTAGAACATTTTAAGAGACTGTTAACATGAAACTAATTATAGTCACTTTCCAGGGAGGATTCACTTACCTAGACACACCTGTGGGTGACACGCTGATATCATACACACCTTCTTTGCTACAGAAATCAAGGAAACAGACTCATTAGCATTAGGCAAAATAATACACTCCACCCAGTGGAAGGGTTGGGCTCTGCAGTTCCCGAACTCCTGGTCACCAGAATCATTTCACAGTGAGGGTGCACTGTGAGGGAGGCATAATCCCACCTTCTTCCACCACTGAGATAAAGGGCAACATGGTGGCAGGCCACTGATGTCATTGGGAATTGAATCCTGACGGAGTAAGGCCATGGAGACAAAAACTGGGATGAAATATATTCTGATTCTACCCCTCTGTATTTCATCCACAATTGAGGCTGATATGGTCCAGAAATCTATCACACAAAGGGGTACCAAACAGCAAATCCCTTGGAGATCCTGCAAGAGGTGCATTTAATAGGCAGCAAGTACATCTCAGGGCTGTGGGCTCCTGTTGCTTTCAGGTACATGTCTAATGTGGTTCTTGCCTGATTAAAAAAGGTTCCCCACCAACTCTTCAGCCCTGCATTCAAGGTCCCCATGATGTAGCTCTACTTCCTGACAGCTCCCACCCACTCATGAGCCTCCCACCGCTGTCTGGAATCTCCTGAATATACCACCGTATTTCTAATCCTTCTTTTCTACAAGCTGGAATGTCTCCCTGTCATCCAGCACCCGCAATCCAATCCACCCGAACTTTGGTCCCATGGAAAATTCTAATCCATCTCTCAAAATCTCAGCTCAGTCTCATCTACAGCACTTTCCTGACCATTAATCCACCCAAATAACGTTAACCAACTCATCCTCCATGCTGCCAGCAGACCTTACTACAAGCCTACTGTTTCACACTATACAGTATTACAATTTACCTGATTATACATCTATTTCATTTACTAGACTGTGGGCCACTGACGGGCAAGGAATGGGTGACCTTTGTTTCCCTGTGCCCAGCACATAGTAGATGGGCAATAAAAGCCCAGAATTTAATCAAATGTGCAAAAGTACAAAACCATTCCAGATGTGCAAGGTGGTGAGGTCTGCAGTGAGGAAACCGACAGCCAGACTGCATAGGTGCCTAGGCCAGAAAGTGGCGTCAGATCCTCCCTGACAGAGGTAACTCACAGAAAACAATACAAAGGGACAGGGTTCACATCACCTTCTGCCATGTGAGACAACAGTTCGTGATATGTGAGCTGGGCTCTCAGGCAGATGTGTGAGCCCCTGGGAGCCAAAACGTAGGCAGGGTTACCGTCACACAAATGTACCATGTCTCTAAATGAGTGGCCTATCACTTCTCAGGGCCCAAACACAAAGTTTCAGTGTGATATATTCTGGGCCACACTTAGAAATTGGCTCAGTTCAAATATGGGAGACATTTCTGGCCATTAAATAAAAATCTAACATAGCTAACTTTACACAACTAGAATTAACAAATGCTGGGACCAAAAAGGAAGTTTTGTCATTTTGCTGTGACTTGAATATTCACAACTGCCCATTTTTTCAGCCTGAATGTCCCACATGTTCCTTGTAATAGGTTTCATGGTTTTGTTTTTTCTCTTTATCACCAATGGAGGCAATGTCACACCGGTATTTATAAAGCGATCAAAGACTGTTAGAGCTACCACACTCTGCCTTCAGTGATCATGTGGTCCAAACCTTTATATCAGACAAGGAAACGAAAGTCCAGAGAGATGGCCCCAACATACCTAAGGACTAAATAGTGGCAAGGCCACAACTACACCACCCCCCTTTGAAAGTATGATGAGCTTCATGTTAGTTTCACATTTTTCTAAACAACACAAATCACCCTGCAAATAGCCAAACAGCCTAGCAGACTGTTCATGAGCAGCAACGTACAAACACTAATTTGTTAAAGTGAAAGGATGCTTTCTACTGGTGATTTATGTACATCAGATGGAAACTGAAAAGTAGGAAAAGAGAAGTCAAAGCATCTTTCATCAATTTTGGAAAAGAATATCTTATATGCTGACCAGTATAAGAGGAATTAAAAATTAAAAAGGATATTTTATATACAGATCAATATAAGAATTCAAATTGCTCTGGAACAAGTATGTAAATATTCAAGGCCTTCTAGATTCCTAACAGCTTTCATAAGCATTGCTAGTCGAAAGGACCTAACTAAAGCCTTCTCAAAAATCCATGCCTCAACAACTCAGAAAAAAACCTGCCTTTTTTTTTTTTTTTTAAAGTAGGCTCCACACCCAGTGTGGAGTGCAGTGTAGGGCTTGAACTCACGAACCTGAGATCAAGACCTGAGCTGAGATCAAGAGTCAGACACTCAACCAACTGAGCCATCCGGGTGTCCCCACTCTGTCTTTACTAGGAGATATTTTCACTTACTATCTGCAGCTATCTTCATGAAACAGGGTCAAGACATCTACACTAGAGTCAGAGTTCCACGTACAGGTACCTTGTTGCATTTTCCACACCATCAGCAAATTGCGAAAGGCTTCCCAAAACACCAAGTTTAGGGATGTCTAAGATACAAACATGCCAGCCTAAAATTAAGATAGTAATTGGGCCATTATCTCTTCCAGATGGAAAAAAACTGGGTGAGTGAAAGATCTGGGCTCTCCATTTTACCATGGGCAACCAATGCAGAAGGCAGCGAATTACTTACTCAATCACTCGTGGCTCTGGGACTCTGCGTACTACCTGCAAGGAAACAGGCAGATTTTACTTCTGGTGTGATCCCTAACCCTCAGAAAGGCTGATTTGCAGGATTACCATATCCTCTCATTTCTGACAAAAATAAATCAAGTTTAAAACTATCCTTTTTTTTATTCCAAGCTCTTCCCATGCCACTAGAGACCCTTGTCTGCTTTTCTTAGAGCTACTTCACAGTTACTAGTGGGCAAGAAAAAATTTAAAAAAGTACAATCAATCCATTTTCCAAGCAGCCAGTAATTCTGGAAAAACTTTTCCAGGAGATTTTTTAAAATAGACATACAAAGAAATAAGTTTTAATCATTATTTTCAAAATCACTACTACAGCAAAATGCCGGATTTTAATCATATGTCCCATGCTACTAAAAAGAGTGAATCTTTACCGTTTCTTACAATTTTTCCCCCGTGGGGGGAAAAAAAGCTAAAAATCAGGCATTGTAGTAGTTGAAAATGTCAATCCAATTCCAGAGATACCCATTACACTAGTACTAACGACAGCATGAGTTTAGGACTGTTAGAACTCAGACAACCGGGGCCCCTGGCTGGCTCAGTCAGTTGAGCATCTGACTTTGCCTCAGGTTATGACCTCATGGTTCATGAGTTTGAATCCTGCGTCGGGCTTTGCACTGATAAGACAAAGCCTGCTTAGGATTCTGTCTCCCTCTCTCTCTGCTTCTTCCTTGCTCATGCATGTATGCTCTCTCTCCCTCTCTCTCTCTCTCAAAAATAAGCATTAAAAAAAAAGGGACGCCTGGGTGGTTCAGTCGGTTAAGCATCCGACTCTGGATTTTGACTCAGGTCATGATCTCTCAGTTCATGAGATCAAGCCCCGCAGAGCCTGCTGAGGGTTCTCATTCTCTTTCCCTCTCTACACCTACCCCTGCTCACTCCATCTCTCTGTCAAAATAAATAAACATTAAAAAAAAAAAAAGTACTCAGATAACCAGTGTAAGCAATAGTCATGGTATAACCCTCTTGCCCCCAAAGTGGGACTATACACAGCCATGAGTTGGGAGCAGCCTCTAAAGGATCATCAGACACACTAAGGAGTCTAGAGTCCACATTTCATTATTATTATAGGCCCTGCATGCTCCTTCACTAGAGAATGTATTCAGTCACTATTCGAGCATCTACTGTGTGACTGGAGCTTCTTACAAGCAAACCCCTTAGTGCTGGGAGAGAAGAATTTACCTCCTGGGGTTCTCTGAACACAAACTGTGTGTCCAAAAGATGATGCTCCTTGTTTGTCCAGGTCTGACCATGCCTTTGGTGGAGATGGCTCTTTGCCGTGGTGGCTAAAGTAAGAGCAAGAACAGATTCAAACCAGACTCCAAAAAGTTTGTTCTACTGAGCAAGAGCCAATAGAATCTACCTGAAGATCACCTATATGATATCTAGGAATTAGTAATGTCTGTCAAAGACCCCAAAATACACACTGTAAGGTTTGAGAGCAGGGACTAAGTATGAGGAATACTAAATTATCAACCCTCAAAAACAGATCGCCATCAAGAAAATCAAAGTACCGACTATGTGTTAAATAATTCCTTAACATGAACGGAAATACAGATGCATTCACACGCGAGGTCCCCACAGGTTCTTGCCTGGCTGAGCGGCGGCCTGGCTCTTAGCAGGGCCAGCCCAGGCTCCCTGCACACGTGCTCGCCGTCTTTTGTCTTCCATGTCCATCAAACAGGCTTCTGCTCTTTGCTTTCAGAACACTTCATTCCTGATTAAGACCACACAATGGTATCTGTTAAAAAAAAAAAAAAAAAAGTGCTCTTAGGATTGTGAGAGCGTGGACTACCTAAGGGAGTGATCAGAATCCTTTCAAGCGCAATAGCAATCAGAGATTCTACATAAAAACCACTTCTGGGGGCACCTGGGTGGCTCAGTTAAGCGTCTGACTTCGGCTCAGGTCATGATCTCGCAGTTCATGAGTTCGAACCCCGCATCAGGCTTTGTGCTGACAGCTCAGAGTCTGGAGCCTGCTTCGGATTCTGTGTTTCCCTCTTCCTCTGTTCCTCTCCTGCTTGCTCTCTCTCCTTCACTCTCTCTCAAAAATAGAGATTTTTTTAAATAAAAAAAACAAAAACAAAAACAACCCACTTCTGTCACCACAACGTCTCAATCAAGAAGCCTACTAAGTCACTTGGGATTGCTGGTTTTAATGTTATTCTAGGATCTATCCTAAACCATATTAGTCTTATTAGTCTCCAAGGTAGTGTAATACTCCCTCACCAATATGGATACTGAGAAACAGGCTCAGACTCGGTTTCCAAGCGTATTCCATTATAACTAGCTACATCAAACTTCCCTGGAAGCTCGTTAAAAATAACCACAGCCTGGGGCGCCTAGGTGGCTCGGTTGGCTAAGCATCTGACTCTGGATTTTGGCTCAGGTCATGATCTCACGGTTCGTGGGACTGAGCCCTGTGTCTGGCTCTGCATTGAGTGTGGAACCGACTTGAGATCTTCTCCCCTTCTTTCTGCCCCCCGCCTCAAAGTAAGTAAATTAATTAAATTTTTTAAAAATGCCCATGGCCTGTCTCAGAAGATCTGAGTTAGGATTGATACAAGTGTTTGTCTTTGTGACACGCACTGTGGGAGATGGAGGAAAGTGGGTCTGTATGAGGACCACAGGGTTAAGTGGCTCACTCAGGAAATCAACAGAAGGTGAATTAACATTCAAACTTTATTAACTTCCAGTTTTCAGTTAATTGGGGGGGAAAACACCTCATAATGGTCAGTGATCCTAATTTGGAATTTTTGCCAGTAAAGTTTTAGCTCACAGCAATCACAGGCATACAGGTACAGAAAGACAAAAACAGGGAGACTCACGGCACATGTTCAGAACCTACGATCCATTTCTTCACTGATCTAAGAAAGCTTCGCATCTCAAGTTCTCAAATGTAACCAGCTCATCTTACAGCTTAGTCAGCCCACCGATTTCCAGATCTTCCCAGACCTTCTGAGCTGATGGGCCCAGGAATCTGTACGTTTAACAAATTTCCCCAAGTGGCTAAGTGTGTAGTGCCTTCTCATTTAAGAGCTGGGGAGATGACGGAGACCGCCATCTGCCCAAAACGAGTTAATGGCAGAGTCAAATACTGACCCTCCACTCCCGCAAGATGTGCAGAGGAAGCTTGCATTTTCCCTCAACTGGGACCACAGAAAGCTCTTAACACGGCAACTGCTGTCTGTTCACAGGGGAGAAGTATGTGCCAGGGGGCAGCAGTTGGAAATAACAGATTTCGGAGTCCCATCCTCGACCCGCGGATTTTGTGGCGTTCCAGAAACTGTTAACTAACCCCCACCTTCCACCCTGGGATTCTTTACCCGCATGAAACTTGAGAACCCTGAGGAAGGCAACCAACCAACCAACCAACCAAATCATTAGGGCTCGGGCGCCAGCCTGACCCGCTTTGAACCTAAGTCTATCGGTTCCCAGCTGCAGGACCCGTGTGAGACGCCTTCACCTGCCTGCGCCTCGGTTTCTTCTTCTGTTAAGAGGGGAACCAATACTTCTCTCACCGTTGAAGTGAAGGTTAAGTCATCCTCGATGGCGAAAAAGGCGGGTCCTCAGCAAGAGCGCGTAACTTTCCGTATACTGGGCTCCCCTCTTCCAGGAGCCCGGGGATACGGTCCCGGAGGCAGGCCCGGAAGGGTCCCCGGGGGGTGATCCCCATGCCCCCAGGTACCCAGCGGCGGAGCCGGGCGCGCAGCTTACAAACCTGCTCGGTGCCGACGCGAACCCCGCTGTCCCGGGGCAGCTCCGCCGCCTGCGGCCGGGGAACCTGAAGAGCAGAGCACCAGCTCCAGCAACCCGCAACCACGGGCCGCGGCGGCAGGCAGTTCCTCTTGACGTCACGCGCCGCCGCCGCCGCTTCCGGCGCACCCGCCCGAGTCCGGGCAGCTCCGCGTTCCCTGCGCGGGAAGGGCCTGGTCGCTGAACGTGCCGGTGGGAGGGCCGGGGTTGGACGCGAGCACGGATCCAAGGTGCTCTGGAGCCCGGTGAGGAGGGGATATGGCGAGGGTGGGAATGAAGACGTGTTCCTCAGGCCAAGGTCCCTCTGGACATAGCCCCCCTCCACTCCACCCCTACCTCCTTCCCCCGAAAGCCAAACTGCAGAAGTCTAAGCGCCAGCATCCTTGGTCTGTGCGGAGTGACAGGGACCCTGCGGGGCTGGTGGAAGAGCGACGGGGTTGGCAAACCAGGTCGTGATGTGCTAAGTAAAAGGATTTGAATTCTACCCTGAAACCATGGAGAATGTAACATGCGCTTCCTTTGTGTCCCCGTTGCAGCCTGTGCACAGTTCCATCAATAACACAACAAGCCATGGGACCACACCTTCTTCTCCACGGCTCTCCATTGCTCACCAGATTTTGCTTGAGTGAACAGACCTAAGTGTCAATCCAGACGACACCATTTACTAGATGCATACTCTAGGGCGAGTACTCCATTGCTTTATGAGATTGGCGTAGCTTTTGTTGAGAGGGTTAAATGTGGTAATTAATGTATTTAAAGAATTTAGCAGGATGCTTGAAACACAATAGAAACTCAGTTAATACTAAGAGTGTCTTCTCTTCACCCCATCTGAGTTTTTAGGAAGCATCTTTAAAATGGCCATGTTAAACCACGTATCTTACAGTGTGAAAATAGCAAACGTAGCACTGAATTTGATGGTTTTATGTGGCTTATTCTCTAAGACCTACCAAATAGTAGTCACTGTGGAATTCTTTAACATAAGGCTTGTATTAGATACTGCTTATCTGCAAAAGCTCAGTGTACCCCACCAATCTAATCTTCAGAGCATCCATCATTCTTCGTTATACTTTGTGACAATGAAGGAAAATGATTTATCCTAGAACTGAAAGGAGAGAAAAGTGGGCCAGACTATAATTTTTACCTTTTTTTTTTTTTTTTTTTTTTCCCCATCAACTAGTAATTTGTCATTGTCTGTTTCTGGTTCAAGAACCTTGACTTTGTCTTCCAAAGAACGCCATTTCTTTCTTTTCAGTGATTACGGTTTTGGAACAGGAACAAAGAAGTTTGGATTGAGGAGTCCCTAAAAGTAGTGATTAAAACATCTTCAGCCTCCAAGTAGAACATTTCTCAAAAATCAATCAATCAATGGCCTGCTTTCTTCCATAATAATTGCATTTTTTTTTTTACTGTTTTATTTATTTCTGAGAGAGAGAGAGCGTGAGCAGGGAAGGGTCAGAGAGAGAGGGAGTCACAGAATCTGAAGCAGGCTCCAGGCTCTCAGCTAGCCGCCAGCACAGAGCCTGACGTGGGGCTCGAACCCACAAACCCTGAGATCATGACCTGAGCCGAAGTCAGACGCTTAACCGAGCCACCCAGGCACCCCAAAATAATTGCATTTTTAACAGAATCACCTACATTTCTTGCAAGTGCTCAAGGTGATTCGAATGCAAAGAAAGTTTAGAAACCTTTAGGATGCATGTCTGGTGACAAATCATTCCCCTTTGTCCAACACTGAGAGGTTTTCCAGGACATAGGACTCTTAAGTGCTAATGGCAGGACCGTAGTGGGTAGCTGAGATGGCTGGTTACCCTAGATACATGTGATTATATACTATTAGAAAGATGTTCTTTTGAGTCTTACTCCCTGGGCTTCCCCCAATTCTATTTGCAGTATTTGTGTTTTTATCAGGGGGTGGCGGTGGAGACCGTGGGAGAGGGAATGAAAGCGAGGTGCATTGCCAGTTATCAGCCCACTCATTCTCAGCTCCAAACCCTTCCTCCAGTACCCGGCTCGCGATACTGGAACATTTCTCCCGTGCAGTTTGGTCCGATGTGAAGCGACAGCAGTAGAGGGTGCTGGAGGGACGTTAGAGGAGGATGCAGTTCTTCCTGATTCCAGAGTGCTCCTCTCAGCTGGCTGGGCATGCAGAGCGGCCGGCAGTGTCAGCATCTCTTTGTGAGCTGACCTGCCACATTAGTGGCATTTACAGCCTTGTTAAGTTCCTCTTGTGAAGTTAAAGCATTGGTTGGGAAGGAATGGGATCCCCAAATATGAAATAGTGACATCTGCTTGGACCCAGATGAAACTGACATTCTTGAACACCCAAGTCACCCTGAACCTCCCCAGGCAGGGCCAGTAGCTTGCTCTCCTGTGTGTGAGGAGACTAGTCAGCCTTTGCTTGAGAACCCGGTGAAACACTCACCGGGAGCAGGTAACTTGAAAAATGCAGCATAGATCTGAACTTCCTAACAGGTGGGAGTGCTTCCACATTTGTGCCTTTCTTGGTGGGGGAGTGTGCGCGTGTGCACGCGCGTGCCTGTTTGGACCTAGATGTAGTGGCTGGTCCCTATACCTTCTGTGTCTGTATTCTTAGAATCTTCCTTTCCCCTTGTAGATGATAGCCTATAATGGTTATTAATTTTTGCCCCTGAATTACTGTATAGTTTCTGTCTCCCATTTGGTTCCTGTTAACAGTGTGATTGTGATGTCAGAGCGTGGGAGCAATGGTGGGCAAGTGGCTAGCTCCAGAGTTGGTCTTAAACTGTGAGTAATTGTTTTGGCTCTGATTTGGCCCCTTGCTCTCCCTGGCCCTTAACTCTTGTGCTGCTCTCGTTTCCCTTCACCTGACACAGCCCTCCCAAAATTTGCAGTAGGTTGTGCTGGTCTGGTCGCCTTGCCTCTACTCTGAAACCAGCATTTCAGAGTATGGTTGGAAGGCCATCTGCATCAGAGTTACCAGGGGATGCTTGTTAAAAATGAAGATTAAAGGGGTGCCTGGGTGGCTCAGTCGGTTGAGCACCCAACTTCAGCTCAGGTCATGATCTCACGGTTCGTGAGTTCAAGCCCCACGTCGGGCTCTGTGCTGACAGCTCAGAGGCTGGAGTGTGCTTCTCATTCTGTGTCTCCCTCTCTCTGCTCCTCCCCTCCTTGCGCTCGGTCTTTGTCTCTCTCCCAAAAATAAATCACATTTAAAAATATTTTTTTAAATGAAGATTCCAGGCTGCCCATCAAGATTCTGGGTTACAGCTTGCATATTTAACAGTGCCTTGTTTCATTTTCCAAGAACCTGCCAGAGTTCGGCCTTTCCTAGCTGCCTGCTTTCTGCGGGTGACCACTTTCCACTCAACAGATCCTTCATCCCTTGGATGGCAGAACCGATAGATGCTTTAAGTGCCGGTAGCTCTTACCAGAATGATTCTGAGTGAGCCACACATGGCAGCCTGTTTTCAGTTGCTGATTTTCACACCAGACTCTTGCCAAACATTGCCTGTCTCGATCATATGCTGCTTGTGGAGTGCCTGCTGAGAATTCCGGAGAAAATCCAATCTAAGGAAAATAATGGCACATCATGCTAATAGCTCTCAGCGAAGGTACTGCGTAGAGAAATTCCCAGCCAGTGTCTCACTGCCAGAGGCTTGGCGTTTCCCAGCTTAAGGGAGGGAGGAAGGTGGGGCAGGAAGCTGCCATCTCTGCAGCGCGATGGCAGGGAGGCTTTCAAGTCTGCACCGACCCTAAGCCATGTTGAGGGGCACAGGATGCTTCCCCAGACTCTAGACAGGGATGCCTCCCATGCCACGCCTGGCACAGTAGCAGATGCTGCTCAGGATAAAATCTGCCAGTGAGCCAGAGCATGCACTGTGAGGAACAATGAAAGAACAGTATAATTGGATGTGAAATTGTGGAGGGCAGACAAAAATCCAGGACAGGAGAGGTCACTAGAGGTTACAGTCATCAGTGAAGGCTTTATGGTGAATAGGGAGTTATGTCAGAAGCTTTGTTTGTTTGGGGTGCCTGGGTGGCTCAGTCAGTTAAGCATCCAACTTCAGCTCAGGTCATGATCTCACAGTTCGCGAGTTTGAGCCCTGAAAGGCTCTATGCTGACAGTTCAGAGCCTGGAGCCCGCTTCCCATTCTGTGTCTCCCTCTTTCTGCCCCTCCCCCACTCTCACTGTGTGTGTGGCTCTCTGTCTCTCTCTCTCAAAAAATTTAAAAAAATTTTTTAAATAAAAAAATAAGTTTTTTTTTTTTAGTTTATTTATTGATTTTTTAAGAGAGAGAGAGAGAGAGAGAGAGAGAGAGTGCGAACAGGGGAGGAACAGAGAGAGGGAGAGAGAGAATCCTAAGCAGGCTCCATTCTGTAAGTGCAGAGCCTGATGCGGGGCTCAATCTCAGGAACCATGAGATCATGACATGTGCCGAAATCAAGAGTTGGATGCTTAACCAACGGAGCCAGCCAGGGCCCCATGTCAGCTTCACACAGTATGGAACATTCAGTGGCTGAAAGATAGTGATGGTCCTATTTCTCCTAAAAAGAGTAGTAAGTTTTCTTTCTAAAAAGAAACCATTTTACACATCTGATTTCTAAATAATAGCACATAATATTAACATTTCTTGATGGCATGCCAAGCAATGCTGTAGTTATATGCATACACTGATCCAATTTTCTCACTATTAGTCTCATTTACAAAGGAAAAAACTGAACCATAAAGCTACATGAGGCCACCAGGCTACTTCTCTGCAAATACATGGCAGAAGGAAAGCCAAATTAGGAAAGACAGGACTATTCCTGGAATGATATATGGAGCCATTTCCTGGGGCCTAAGAGCTGGGTTCTTTCAGAGGCTTTGAAAGTGAAGGATGGGTAGCACTGAAATCCATCAGACCCTAGATTACAAATCATACTTGATGGCTTTATCTAGATGGTTTAGCAGAGTCTTCTTTAGCGTCACCGAGTTCTCCGAGCCATGTGAACCACATAACTTCAAGTACGTGAACTGTGATATCAGGCAAGTCTTTTTTCAAACGTCAGCCTCACTACTTCCTTGGCGGGTAGCTTCAGATATATGGGTCACATCAAGA